CTCACAGTCACTCATCCTCAAGCCACTCCCTTCTTCAAGAATGAATAAAACCTGGGCTCGGCCTTGGGTGGAGGCCTTTGTTCCAGATGGCCATCATCGTGGCTGGACTTAGGACCCCTGGGCTCCCATAACTACAAATATGCCTTAGTGTCTTTATTCTCGCCATGGGCTGTACTGGAAGTGGTAGATTGGAATTGACTTGCTAGAATTCCAATAACTTTTCATGGGGTTACAAATATGAACTTCCTGGGCCGCAGTGAGGACCAGGAGGGCTCTCTATACTTTACTCCATGTTTTTTGGCAATGTCAGATTATTTTACCACATAGTATATTCTTTGAGAAGGCCTTGTTTGTTTATTTGTTTGTTTTTTGAGACAGAATCTCACTGTGCAGTTCAGGCTGGCCCTGGACTCACGGCAGTCCTCCTGGCTCAGTCTCCCAAGTGCTAGGATTACAGGTGTGTGCCCCCATGCTTGGCTGAGAAAACCATTATTTTAAAAAGGTAACTATTATCACATCTAACAATAACAAATTTTAATATTATATAATACCCCATCCATGCCCAGTTTCCCCAGTTGTATTAAAAATTGTCTTTCTATTGTTTGAGGATATAAATAACTCGTACGTTGTGGTGGTATCTTATTTTATCTATGGCAGTTTCCCTCATTTAAAAAATGGCATTTATTTGTTGAAGAAACCAGGTCATTTTTCATGTAAATTTTTTTCTATGATCTGGATTTGTTGATTGCAATCTCATGGTGTCATTTTGTGTGTTCCTCTGTCCCTTGTATTTCTTTTAAAGTGGTAGTTTTATCTGTAAGTTTGATTACTTTCAGGTTCCATCCTCTTGGCAGGAACGCTTCATAGGTTGTGCTGTGTACTTTCTTTTATAGTTTATCAAGAGGTAATTTCTTTTTTTTCTCTTTTAATGATATTAAGATTTATCAGTAACTCCAGGTATTATCAGCTTGATCTCTTACAAAACCCTCTATAACCTTTCACCTAGTAGCAGTAATAAACTGATGTTTACCTAAGTATATTATTTCATTAGGAATTGTGAACTAATGACTTTTATAATTCTTTCATTTCCTCAACATTTATTAGCATCTATGAAAAACTGTTCCTTAGTAAATCCTTGGTAGAACAGTTTTTTGAGGAAAAGTAGGATAAAGCCTTGATTTCTTTTTTATCAGTTTTTGATTAATTTATCAACTTTGCCATTAGGTTTTTGAGGAAAGGGGAAATATTAAGAACTCATGGGAAAGACAAAAAACCAAATAAATAAAAAAAATTTAAAAAGCCTGGCGTGGTGGTGCACGCCTATAATCCCAGTACTTGGGAGGCTGAGGCAAGAGAATCGTTGCGAGTTCGAGGCCAGCCTGGGCTACAAAGTGAGCTCAAGGCCAGCCTGAACTGCATAGTGAGACCCTGTCTCAAAAAGACAAGAAAAAAAAAACTAAATAAAAGAAAAAAAAAAGAACTCATGGGTTTTGTATATTTGAAATGTTTCAATCCATTATAGTCATTATTTTTTGGCTATTAGGAACTCCTTTAAAGTTGGCCACTGAATAGTACTTTATAATTTATAAGATACTTAACATGCATTAGTCATTTGAACCTCAGAAATAACCTTGCAGCCTGGGTATTATTACCCAGTTTTTCAGATGGGAAGTCTAGATCGTAGGACTTGAACCAAGACTTAATGTCTATTGTTCTTTCCAGTACAATGAGAGTGGAAGGTAGGAGAATTATTCTCCTATTTGCCTTTTCTCTGGCTCTGAGATTAAATGGCAGATCCCTTTGACCAGTGGGAATATGACATTAAGCAATCTCCACGTTAGAAGACATTACTCGTGGCAAACGCTGTTGAGAATGGTGTTATGCTGAGAATACTGTAACTTGGTAAATAGGCTCTCTCAACTTTGTTTGTGAAGCATTTCAATTTTGATTACTCTGTGTGGGAGCTGCTTCTCAGATGAGTGTCATTTTATGGTCTGCCCATGTCTGGGGAGCTGGCATTACAAGCTGCCTAGTGTTTTTAATTCAGAAGTTCTTCTAAAAGAAACCTTAGCCTCTTATATTCCAACCCTAGTTTTAATAGCATAAGCTATTTCCTTCTTATATAGCTTTGTGGGCATAGTAATAAAATAAATACCACAAAATCACTGATGAGATGAAAATTGAGCTCCCTGCTTCTGTGCAGCCATGTAGGTAAAACAGTAATTGGCTCTGATAATAACTTTTGTTCTTACAAACCGAAGTCTAAATGAGAGTCACATTTGATATATCTGCTTGTAATTACTATCAAAAGGAGAGAAGACCAAGTTTAGACTGTTCAGTGACTCAAGATAAATTAAATAAATTGCTGTCTTTTCTTGACCAATTTAAGAAAACTTTTTAGAAATTATTTCTGATATTTATCATACCACTGGTAAAAAATGATCATCTTCCAGAACATGTTTTCTGCTTAAAGGAATGCTTAATTTTATTTTTAAAAAATATCTGTAATTGTTTTTTCTTGGAAAAAAACCTTAAACTGGATCTAATAATGCAGCTGATACTTATAAGTATTTTCCTATATATTCTTATAGATGGTTTGTAAGACAAATTCATGTTTTGAAGTATTTGGCCGTGGTTTTCAGTAAACCCATTTGATATATTATCTAAATATATATTCATGTAATAAATTTTTATAGGGAAATTAAATTAGGCATGCTATATATTATTATTTTGGTACACACACACTTTGGTTTAAAAGAGTAAATATTAGACTATTAATAATGTTAAGAGATCTTTCCTGTTGTTTAGAAGCCAACAATAAAGAATTTATGTTACAACCTATCATTTTTGTTTCCGTTTACATACTGATTTATTTCTAGAAATATCTCTGTCCAGTGCCACAGAAATGCAAAAATGGCCAGACAACAGCTGGATTTTAAAGCCAGGTTTAACAGTGATTCTGTATTTGGTCATTTTTTCCCTGCACCAGTCCCATAACCGCACAAAGCTGAAGGAGCACAGTAAAATGAAGAAAACTGCTCTGGTCCACTGAGACAGTGATCCCAGAATGAAAAAGTTCTAACAAAGCCTAGACGTGATAGATGAAGCTATTACCATCAACTGTATCCAGAACACACATTTTTAAAACACCCTAATTACAGAAACCTCATCCAGTCAATATAATACATATTAGCAATTTCCTGATCCTTGGTAGAATGGAAATTATTCTCAAAGTTTAATTAAGAAGGAAAAAAATTATGTTCAGGTATTAATTTCAATAAAAGAGGCACTAGGCTCCCGTGCAAAAACCCGAGAGTATGGGTTAGCCACAGAAGAAAAGCCGTTTGTAATTAGGCATTCGTTCCCTTTATCCTCACATTCCCCTGAAGGAGAAACTTACAGGATACACCATGTTTGCAACCTGTGTCTCCACATGGGCTACGTAAACCAGAGAGTTGAGGGCAGTTATTTGTAGATTTGGTTACTAAAATGCCATTTTATAAATACAAGGAAGGCTTGGAGCATGTGTTAAGAAGTAGCTTATATCTAGTCCACATTACATTCCAAAGGTATTTTTATAGCCTTTCCCTACACTTGGACCTTAGGCCATTTATGAATGCTTACGATTAAAGAAATAACTGAATCATGATCTAATCTATCTGGTTCCTACAATGGTTTTTACATTGCATCAGATCTCAGAACTAAGATGCTATTTTTTTTTTTTTGGTTCTGGGGATTAACACCAGGACCTCACACATGGTAGGCAAGTGCTCTTCCACTGAACTGTATACCTTCAGCTTCAGAACAGTGATGTTTAATTGAACTAAAATCAGCTTTCAAAGTTGTTCATAGTACCTCCAGCCACTTTAAAAAAAAAATACTACAAGTCACAAAGGTGCATATTCTACGATTTCATTCCCAAGAAATGTCCAGAACACATACATCAATAGAGACTGGAAGTGGATTAGTGATTATCTGGGGCTCAGGAGAGGAAGAAAGGGGAAGGGATTGCTAATGGGTAGGAGGTCTCATTTTGGGGTGATGAGAATATTCTAGAATAAGCTGCAATGCTTGCACAGCTCTGTGAATATTCTAAAAACCATTGAATTGTATATTCTAAAGGGTTGAGTTTTATGGGGTGTGAATTATATCACAATAAGCAAGTCACAAAAGGTGTTAGAAATTGTTGGTGATACCACATCCCTAGCTTCCTGCCATAGAATGCCAGAGTTGGGGGAGAGTTTGGGAAATGATCAAGTCTAGCTGTCACATTTTACAAGTAAAGAAACTGATGTCCAGAGAGGTGAAGTACTTCCACAGGATCCCGCTCAGCAGTCCGGGGTGGAGGCGGAGCTGGCACCCAGGGCTTCCGGCCCCCATCCAGTGCCCCTCTTCACCACCACTGTGCTGCCCGCTTGTGGTTTCTCTATAACCATCAGCAGTCATGGATCTGTGTGAGCAAGATGCTTATATTTTTTCTACTTGGAAGCACAAATTATCCTTATGGGCAGCAAAGTCTCCGTGAAGGAGTAGATACATCTACTGTGATAAACTGATCAGGTCCAGACTGAGAGCTACCTGCAAGTGTCCCTGGAGGAAAGTGGCCGCATGAACAGATCAAGGGAGCCCTCTACCTGTGTATTTGTAGCATTGATTTCATTGACAGAATCCTCAACCTAGGGAGCTAAAAATAAATTGAAACCAAGTATTCTTGTCCTTTGTCCACCTTGACTGACTTAGAGCACTATTTCTGAGAAGAGATAGTGTCTCGGGTTATATTTGCGTGAGCAGTTGGGTACATAGAGGAAAATCTGCACAAAGTTCCTTCTCAGTGAATTAAAGGGACCAATTAGCAGCCTAAATAAAAGACCCAAATATATTTTCCAGTGATAATTACATTAAAATCCTTATTTTCAAAGAAATTAGTATTCCTGTGAGAATATAAGATGGTAGCATTTTTGTTCAGCGGGCATGAAAGTTTCATTGTTTCTTTGTTGCAGCAAAAGATAGCGTTAAATGTAAAAATCATGCAAGATCCTGAAAACATGCACCACCGAGCTGCTGTAAATGCGAGCTATGGAATCAGACTGCCATATACTAATCAGAGAAAAGCACGTGTAAGTAATGAGTTGTTTTAATAACACTTAATTTTTTTTTAAGAATCAAAAGTCATTTATTAGTGGTCTAAGGGATAATGTGGATTTAAAGTGAAAATGGGATTTTTTTGTCCTATGAATTTTTTTGGAGATGAAACAGAGTGGCTTTCGTTCTGTCTGTCATTAGCAATGATTAAGAAAATGTAAAGCTATTTTGAAAAACCCGTTCGTAGCTCATTCAGACCTCTCTGTTGTATTTGATATTCCTAAACAGTTCCATAATTATAACAAGGAAAAGTAATTTAATGACAAAATGAGTTAACAGAGAAATTTTAAATGTTGTGTATCTTGGATAGTAGGCTTTCCACTAGAAAAATAAAAACAACAGCTAAGTGCCCTACTTCAAATTATGTATACCCCTATAATGCAAGAATTTAACAATATTCTAAATCTGAAGCAAGCAGGAACTCGTCTTTTATGTCAGCAAAATAATGAGAGGGGAAAATAATCAAATGTAGATTCGCATGAAGGAATCTCTGAAGCTATTCTTATTTTTTGCCACTGACTTGCTACTAAAGTGTCCCAAAGCGAGGACTGTACTCTTTCTGTGCTGTGGGGTTTTCTTAGGAGAATTAAGGGTAGGGCTTCATTTTTAATAGTGAAATTATTTAATTCGAGATTATTTCTAATGCTATAAACAATTACTGAGGTGGAATCTATCCATTTTTTTAGAGTACATTTTTTTCACCTGTGTGTCTCTCCAAAGCTCTTAAATGTATATGTTGGTGAAATTAAAACTAAAAACAAGATTAACTGTAGGATTAAATTGCAAAGCCATTTTCTAACCAGCACAATAGTCTCTGAGATTAATCTTCCAAATTTCCCTCATAGACGTTTTCAACTGCCTACTTCCTTCGTGTAACTTAGAAATATATTTTCAGCCTCTTTTATGTGCTTTATGTTATCCTAACAGGTTCGCTTTAAGAGCACTTTATCATAGAAATACTTTTATAGCCTAAGAAATAACCAGAAAGTTAGATATTTTTATTCCTGCTGAAACTTTATTTAAAATGTCACTGTGAATAATGTGAAAGGGTTTTTATCTGCTTCCCATGAGCCCAAAAGCCCTTGAAATAAAAATATTATTTCTCTGGCTGTACAGACAGAAGCAGATTTCTCTTTTGTCGTTGTTGGTTTTTCTCTTCCATCTAGAATTAATATTGGCTTAGCTGGTGGAGTGCTGAGGCTTTGTAGCCTAGGGCAATGGCAGCATTTCCTGCAAACTTTCTGTGTTGAGTGTTGGAATTCTTAAAGGCAAACCTCTAGTTGTAGGGAGAATTAAGCTTTGCTTTAGGGATCTGATAGAAGATTCAGACTTCAATAGGGGATGCAAAATTAAATCCCAAATTTGGGCCAGTATCTTTGTTATTCACTATATTTTTTTCTAATTTCTAAGTAGAATGTGTGTCATGCTTATTGTTTCCGTGTACTTCAAGCAAACAGGACATGGGGGAGTAGTTTGTCCTGTATGAATATTGATAATGTATATTCATTTTCCTTATCAAAGATCCCTTTGTTTCATAAAATTTGAGTCCATAAAAATCTACACCAGAGCGTTTTAAAATTGGATGTACACTATGTTGCTCGAACTGTTGGCGTTTTGATCAAAATGGTTTGCTGACTCTATCATTGTATGTTGATGAAAATATATGAGGGCACTACCTGAAAAATAGCATTCTCATTTTGGATTTAGGAAACAGAATTACTGTTCAGAAAGTCCTTTGACAGAAGTATTAGAGTATTTGTTTTTTTTGTTTTGTTTTGTTTTACATTTTGTTGTTGTTGTTGTTTTATTTTCTGGTACTGGGAATCGAACTCACGACCTCGTGCATGCCAGGCAGGCACTGTGCCGCCGAGCTAAATCCCCAGCCCCTAGAGTATTTGTTTTTAAGCGATCATGTAATGCATTTGAGGGCAAATGTAGCCATGTCTTACCACTTATAAAAATGGTCTTTAAAAGCACTTACCTATACTGAAGCATTAGCATTGAGAGGTGCAGCTGATTAAAAAAGCAACACAAGAGCTGATCGCTTTTCAGAACCGCTCTGAACACTCGAAGGGGATTACTATTTGGCAGCTGAGGGCCATGTGTTTCTTTAACTTCTTATGAAACTTGAACAGCTTGTCAAAAGCCTATAAATAATCTGAGGCAATTTTGACAAAGCACATTTGAATAGGTAGCCAGTTTACCTTATTAGTTCACAGGAGCTGGGAATACTATTTCCTTCTGATGGAAAGGTGCTGTCCTCGTGATAATAAGGAGCTGCCAGAAGATTTCAGGGCTTTGAAAACGTCCTGCACAGACAGGCGTGTCACAAGCTGCCTTCAGAATTTTATATTCTGTGACTGTATTGTGCAAAATAATTTACAAAACAAAACCATTAAAAGTGAAACTCACTAAGGATTTTTTCCAAATCTTAAATCTGCCAGATAAAAACCAAACAACCCCCGTAACATGTTGTTGAGTGGATCCTTATTTGTACGAGGAGCCGGGAAGAAATCCCTGGTACCGTTCGTATGTATGCACTGGCGTCTAGTTCTAGTTAGACTTTATAATGCAACACACTAAAAGATGTACAGAAAATTTGACTTTGATTTATTTTTTTTAAATAAAAAGCGTTTCTTAAAAGGCTTGAAACATGTATCTGTTAACATGAATTTTAAAAGAACGATTATGAATGCATAACAAAATAGCCAAACAAAACATTGCTTTGAATTGCTGCACAAATAACTCTGATAATAACTGTTATGACCTAGAAAAGAATCATAAAAACATTTTTCTTTTTGGCAAGCTATGAGTTGCTGTAGAATTATACCAGTCCTTCGGTCCCACTTTCCAAATAAATAAATATATAATGCAATGTAAACTTAGAATCTTTTATTTATTCATGAGATGGAATTTAATACTATTATGATTTCTAGATTTTATGAGTCATACGTTATGCAGTGTTTTTCACTAACTTAGTTGGGTAGCAACCACACTTCACAAATCATACTTTCATTCTTTACTGTTTCACTTGGGTTGTACATAGTAATCTCCCTCTCACCGAAAGCGCATTCATTTCTGAGATGATAAAGTAATGGAAGCGAGGCAATTGTGTTAATGTCAAATGATTAGAAGAAATACCAGACGTAAAGGGCGGGGGCGTGGGGCGGTGGGTAGAAGGACGATTTCAAAACATGATTGTGTTCTAAGCCCATGCATATGGCCACAATTACAGTCACGACATAATTTGGCAACGGTAGCAGAATTAGATTTAAACAAATTGATGTTACACTGCAGTAATTCAGAATGAGCTTGTTGCATTTATAAACCATAACAAGAAGCAGAGTGAATTAATAAACCCTTCTTGTCACTAAAAATAAAAAAGGGAATAATTGCTGAGACGGAGTTAACTTAACAGATGACTATAGTCAGCATCCTTTCGGCCTAGATATGGGAAAGTGAAGGTCACCTCCATCTCAGATGACAAAGAGGGAACATTGTGTTGGTAAACAAATTAATCTTTTGAAAGGTCGCCATTTGTTTTAAGTTTTTATCCAGTTCTTGTCATCTGGAATCAGAGATTGACTGTCATTTCACTAGGCAGGGGTGCAGTGGAAGCAGACAAAGCGGCTTCTGTACAAATCAGCATTCCTTGACAAAACCCTCTGCCTGATTGTGATGCTATGGGCTGCTGGTTTACAGCTGTCTCCGGACAAGAACGGAGGCCCACCCCTGAATCCCAATAAGATGGGCCTGCATATTCCGCCTGCTGTAAGCTGGCCCTTTGCCCACAAGTAAAATGTATTGTAGTTCAAGCCAGCAATTATCTCCTTTCCTTCCTTCTGTGCTGCTTCTGTTCCCTTTTTCCAAAAACAGATGTGGGTATTCACTCAAGTTCTGCATCTATTCTCCCTCGCACCTGCCAGGGCAGGATTTTGACAGAGGTAGAGGTGGAGGGAGGCAGCAGGCAACAATCAGATGTAATTTCTTTGAGAGCAGTTTAAAAAGAAAATGTTGATTTTTCAGGAAGTGTGGAGTCAGCATCTTGCCCCCCACTTTTCCCAGGAGCATTTGGTAAATTAAATTAGTCAAACAAAAGGAAATAGCTTTAAAGATGTTCTGAAACGCCATATCCTATTTATGACACGCAGTCATTACCCAAGGACTGCAATGGCGCGCATGGCACCCCATTTCCTGACGCTGGTGGCTCAGAGAGAGCTTCTGGAAACACAGTGATGGCTTGTGCCCGACCCGGTCCACAGTGGTGGAGGTGGTGTGTGTTGCCTTTGCATGTTGTTATTTTTGGCGTCATGGGAGAGAAGAAAGCAATGTGACAGTGGCTGGAGTGTTTCTGGAAACCCCAACGCCCAGGGAGTAGGGACAAGCAATTAGAAGTTACACCCTCACTGCATAACATTCCTCAAAAGCCACGCTGTGGGGAGTCTCTAACTGCCTTCAAACACCGTAGTTCCTAAGCTTCTGGGCTAAGGTCCTGCGAACAGCCCCAAACGGACCCTGCAGTGAACTGGAAGCATTTAAGGTAGTGATTCTAGTCACACTGTCGCTACACTGGGGGGGTCCCCAGAAACACCTCCATTTCCTCCTACGTAAAATGTCCATCTCGTAGGATGGTACTAAGATTTAAGGGAGTTAAACCAGAGCACTTAGCAGAGGTCCTGGTACAAAGAAGTGCTCTGGAAATATTAATTACAACTGGTGAGTGTCGCATAGTGTACTGTGTCATTGTTTTTTTTTTTTTGGTTTTTGGTTTTTCTCCAGTACCGGGAACCGAACTCACGACCTTGCACTTGCCAGGCAGGCACTTTGCCGCTGAGCTAAATCCCCAGCCCCTGTGTCATTGTTTTATACTGTCCTTTAGAAACTTACACTGTTGTAGGGGCCAGGGGCGGGATCCAGAATATTGCTGAGATGCCTCCTGGGGATACTACTTAATATTTCATAGGGCGATGCCATC